CGCCTGATCCCCTTAACATCAATAACACATTGCTGCACGCTCCCAGCCTAAGTAAAATTAATTAACTATTTTTAATTCTTAATTGGTTTTAAATATAAAACCACAATTCATTTCGTCTCTCATGCTTAACTATTTTTAAGATATTTATTATAGTAATTGTGCATGTTAAAAGCTTCATCGGATGATAATTCTGATTAATACAAGTGATTAGCAATTATATTTTGAGGAAGATAGCGCATATTTATTCTTTTCTTTTTATAACAAGCGCATATTTATTCTAAACATCTAACTTAACTAATTTTTTAGTTTATTGAAATTAGTCAACTAACTCTTATATTAAAAACCGGAGGTGGAACTTCAATTTTGTTTCATGAAATTTATAACAAATTGCACTGTTTGGACCGACCCAATTTAATTTTTTTTAATTAATCATTTTTAAATAAAAAATATTTTTTAAAAAAAGTGAGAGTTGAGATAATATTCTTATTTTATATTTAGATTTTATACTAATTATTTTTAAAAAATAAATTTTCGGATTAGATGTGAGTAGTCCCAAGAGGATGAGTTCTAGGAGCCCATTGAACACTTTCTACGCAGGTAGATGAAGGGACCCCCCATGTTCAGATGAATTTGCCCCGTGCCAGAATAACGAGTCCATAACAAATGCACCCTACTCGTGCATGCAACAGTTCAACGCATGCGTGCCTGTATAAAATCCGGAGGAAAATCTTGAGGTGCCAGATACCCATTAACATTTTGAGAAAAGGACAAAAAAATATTCCCAAATATGCAAAATTTCATATCAATGCTAGTTAAAAAAAAAAAAAAAAAAACCCAGCGTTAGAGTTCTAATTTGATATTTCCAGATCTTAGTAATAGATAAGCTTGCCTTCATAAATTGATAAAAGAAAAGACAATGCCAAATGCAAGTTACTCAGTCCATTTATATAAAGGTATCATTAGTTGATATGGAAAAATTGTCGACACACCTAACAAGAAGACAATATGTGATTTGTCTACGTTTTTCAACTGGTTTGTCCCGTAATAAATTCTGTTGATTACTCGTAATCAGTATATATAAAATCATTGTTAATATATCAGGAAGAGTTGTTAACGATCCTTCCAAACTGACAGCATGTAACTTGCCTAAGTTTACCAATTGGTTTGTCCTGTTATGATTCCCTAATTACTTGTTGTCAACAAATATAAAAATATTGTTAATATGTTTAGAAAAGTTATCAATATGACAAACAATTGTAATAAATTTTCTTAATTGTTTGTTGTGAACACATGTAAAAGTTTTGTTAATATATTTGGAAATGTTGTAAACCTAGTGCCCTGTTATCAATTTTCTATATTTTTTTATAATGGATTGTGTTGTCAACCAATAAATATTATACAATTCAAGTGATCTCTTTTAAATACAAATAATCATCAAATATCACACAGTTGTCAAGAAATTTGATAAATAAGCAAACACCTGATTCATACATCGTTATGGCATAAATCTAACCAACAATAACTTCACTCACTACCTAGACAAGTGCTGCCAATTTGTTATATTTTTTATCTTGATCAAGCACTTTCAAAGCTTCACCTTTTTTAAAGTTAATTCCAAACCCAACAAACAATCACACACATGTGTCAGACTAAGATCGCATTAATTTCCTTAGCTGCCCTTGTCCCATTTCCCTAATCCCTGTTTTTCTCAGCAAATCACACATTATTTGGAATCATCATTATCAAAGCAAAAAGGGCTACTCAACAAGATCTGACACGACGCGTGCTTGGCACCCGGGAATCAAAGGGCTATTCTTTTTACTAGAGCACTGCAATCTTCTTTGCTTCCACCTTCGGAGACTTCGTGCATGGACATCTACAATGGCTTCCTGATACACTTTATTAAAGCCCCAAATGCATATATCGGCCAATCCCAAGATTCCGTGGTGCTTGATTTCAAGTATTATCAGCACCCATGTTCTGGCTTTTGATTAACCTCCCGTGTTTGCCTCGTCTTTTTTAAAATTACATTCAGAGGCAAACTTTTTTTTTTTTCCCAAACATTTGAAAATGCTAAATCAGTACACCTGTTTTGAATGAGCTTTTGATTTTCACTAGTACTGATCTAAAATTTTCTCTATTTAAGTGTAATTTTTTTTAATCTTTTTCCCTAACATTTTCCCTCAGTTTCATTGGATCAATTCTCATACTCCTCCGGTCCTAATTATAAGACCCAATTGACTTATTTGAGGAAATTAAGGAAGTAAGTTAAGTTGGTTATTTATAATAAATAAGTATTGTCATTCCTAAAATATCCTTACTAATTAAGTATATTGGCTAAAACTATCATTATTAGAAGGATTATCTTGGAAAAAAATACATAAATATAAGAGACAAAATGGATTGGGTCTTATAATTAGGACCAAATAAAAAGTCAAATTGGGTCTTATAATAAGGACCGGAGGAGTATTAACTAATAACTAGGCCATTCACTCTCAACAATCAACATACATTATCACACGAGTGCGTTGCACGTAGCCCAAAAGCTTTAAACTAAAGATGAGACAGCTTCATATTTTTTTTCTTTTAATAAAAAAGAGTTTAAGTAAATTAGGTTTTAAAAACTCGTTAGGGTCAAGACATGTCTCAATACTTAAAGAGTATTTACAAAGATACTTACAAAATCATTTGGTAACAATAATTTTATATGGATGATAAGATTTGAACTTATAATTTTATAAATTATACAATGAGCTAATTACATTACAAAAATCTGGACTTTCAGCGACTACTTTCAGCGGCGACAAAGGAAGTCGCCGCTGAATGTGGTTTTAGCGGCGACTAACTGTCACCACTAAATCTTCTTTCAGCGGCGACGCTTCCTGTCGCCGCTGAATATAGCTTTATTTTTATTAAACTTTTTAATAATATTTATCGGCAATATAAATAAAATTTTTTGTATAATTAATATATTATAAAAATAATTAAAATGACAATCAGCGGTGACATATGTCGCCGTTGAAGCTTGATTCGGCGGCGACTTTTTTTGTTGCCGCTGAAGACCGTTTCAGTGGCGACAACAAAGTCGCCGCCGAATCAAGCTTCAGCAGCGACCACAATGTCGCCGCCGAAACAACCTTTAGCGGCGACAACAATGTCGCTGGCGAAGCAAGCTTCCGCTGCGACATTAGTCGCCGCCGATTCTCATGTTTCAGTGGCGACGTTTTTGAGTGGCAAACTCATCAGCTTTCAGCGGCGACAAAATGCCGCCGCTGAAAGGAGTTTCAGAGGCGACTTTTTTGGTCGCCGCTGATAAGTTTCAGCCATGGTCGCTACGGCAACGACTTGGTGGCGACAAAATGTTGCTGCTGAAGCTTTTCAGCGGTGACTTTTGAAAATGTCACCGCTGAAAGTCAAATTTTTTATAGTGGTATAACTTGATATTTACCACTGAGCTAACTTTTACTGACTTGTAAGCTGCACAAATTTCAGTACAAAGGAAAGAATAACTCGCGCGTCGTACTAACCGTGGATTTTTTTTTTCTGACCATAAGATTATTGGCCATAAATAGTTTCTTCCTTTATATAAGAGGATAATTAAAAATAAAATAAAATTCCGGGGGTCACTCGTCACGCTAAGAAAGGCACAAAACGTACGTGAGAAAACAAAAAGGAGATGCTATTATTCTGTTTTTACTTTTTACTGTTAATGCCGGGACCCGTAATTTAATTTGATCCGTCCGTCCCGGACATTTTCTTCTTCCCCTCGTCAAAAAAGGCATCATGAAATCTTTGGCCTTCTCTTTTGTTGGGCTTTACCGAACCGAAGACTTGATACCACCAGGGTTTTTTTGAAAAAAGAAAATTTAAGACAGGGTTGGTTAACCATCCCAACTTATTTATTTATTCTAATTCTATTGAGTGAGAATATTTATTTTTATCTTAAATATAAAATCTTAATCTATTTTGTTTTTTAAATTTATAAATTTTTTCAAAATAAAAATATTCACATTGACTGCACATGATAAAAAGAGTTTTCATCCAACATGAATACACATTCTTTCATGAATCAGCATTCATTTATAATTAAAAAGCTAATTTAGCCAATTTTTTCAATTTATGCAAATCAATTACTTACCATTTATATATTATAGACGGCAGAAAGTATTTATCTTGGCCCCAACATCGTTATGCCACTTAACATGCCCGGATTTAATTTACTTATGACTAAGATCTCCGTTATTTTTTGTTTAAAAGTCCCACGCCCAAAATCGTGGTTTAGGACCCTTCGGTGTACCTTGTGACGAGTAACTGAAAACTTAATTTCCGAATAATTAAGAAATTAATAGTTATAATGTTTGAGTTATTCACTAATTATTATAATTAACTGCACTTGTCTTTCCTTCCCGGGGATGCATAACGACAGTATCCCCACATCTGTTGGATTTTTTGTTTAACATGTCTTAGGCTGTTGGCCCCCTGTCTTCTCTTATGAGAATTACAACCAAACCAAAAACCATATTTATGTGATAATATAATATATATATATAAGTAAAACAGTGATGTTAAAATATAGAATACAACATCTTATACATGTAAACATTTTCTTAAAAAAATAACAACCATATTCCCTGCCCTTAGACTTCGGCAACAGAAGTCTACGGCTAGTCAAAAGAAGCAACAGAAGTCTACGATGATGCGGAAAAATGTTACCATAAACGATAGTATGATAGACCAACAATAGTTAGTAAGTAGGTTTACAACTAATAAGGTCGTAAATTTGAATTTGAATTTGGCGTGTTCGATGTGAGGAAAAAAAAAATAGCATGGTAATATTGAGAAAATAAGAACAAAGCAAATTCTCCTTGTCCGTGACTCACGAAAAAGGAAATAGTTGCCTTGTTAAATTTCTTGTCCGTAAATAGTAGGGGCGAGAGATTTTAGGCCATGATCGCTTCCCCACAGCACCAAAGCACTAAAGAGATTCGTATACTAAATCTCTCTATATATATACATGATCCTCACAATATCTTTACCTAGTCTTCATTCATCGCACAATCAACGATAAGCATGGCCTCTCTTTCTTCCCCCGGATCGATTTTTTACGTCCTCCTTCTCATTCTGTGTTCGTCTGCTATCCTATTCGCAGATGAGACTAAGGAAGAAGTTGGTATGATCTCTCTCTCAGTACATTCTCTGTTTCTTCACGTGTACGATATTTGGTTTCAAAATAATGGCATCTTCGTTACGCGGATTCAGGATGATTTTCTCACAAAGCTTCGATTTGCGTTTTTCTTTTGTAGACAGACAAGAATTTGATCACATGACGTAGTGAACATGATTTGCTTACTAATATTTCTCTCTACTTGATTTTTGCAAGTAAACTGGTTACTTGTTCTTTTAATGCTTAAAGACGAGGCAGTGATTACGCGTGGAGAATGCCTTTCTCATGAAATATCGTGCTGGTTCCTTTTGGTTTGTTTTATTTTGTGAATGGAATTTCATTTGGTTTTTGGACAGAGGATGAACACCCATTCCTGTACGAAGAGGAAACCGGGAAAGGACCAAAAAATTGGGGGAGTCTGAAGCCAGAATGGAAAATCTGTGGGACTGGGAAATTGCAATCTCCCATTGATCTTCTAGACGAAAGGGTCCAACTTTGTCCAGACTTGGGCAAACTCAAGAGGGACTATAAACCTGCTCCAGCTACCATCAAGAATAGGGGCCACGACATTGTGGTAGCCCCATTTTCATTCTATTTATGCAAATTCCTCCATCGACAGTAACTCTTGCACAGTTTTAGATATCTGTCATGAGGTCTTTTCAATAGAATTATGATATGTTAAAATGTGAAAATATGTTTGTGTTGTGTAAAATGTGAAAGTATGTTTGCGTTGTGTTGTTTTGCAGGTCCATTGGAAGGGATATGCAGGGCAGATTAACATAAACGGAACTTATTACAAACTAGTACAGTGCCACTGGCATACACCTTCGGAGCACACGGTGAACGAGAAAAGGTTAGTTTGGTGCACGCGATTCACCAGAACAGTCTCGTGAGGGTTCTTAGTGTTGTCACATTCTCTCAAATTTGATTTGCAGGTTCAACCTGGAGCTCCATGCAGTTCATGAATCAGATGATGGAAAGTCGGCTGTTATTGGAATTTTATATGAATATGGCCGCCCTGATCCCTTGCTTTCAAAGGTTTGACGTTTCTTGTTTCGGCCCTACAAAATTTAACATGTGCAGACACAAACAGGATGCTTTTTTTTTTTTTTTTTTTAAGTATAAAGAGCAAGCGTTTAGTTCCCCTCATCAATCTCCACCTCCGCATTTAAAGGTGGAAGTTGATAAGGATACAAAAATAATCAGCCTTGTCATGCACAGGCCTAGCTAAGTAATCTGCAAAACATGATGCTTCTTTAGCCAAGTTCAGGTAATTCCTTGAACAGATTGCGTATGATCGGGTATGAGTTATTAATTTGCGATTCGTTTTTTCTTTTTCTTTTTAATGGCAGCTAATTCCCCACATAAAGTCCATTGGTGAAGAAGAGAGAGATTTGGGAATCTTAAACCCTGGAGTCATTAAATTTGGAAGCAGGAAGTATTATAGATACCTCGGATCTCTTACGGTTCCACCCTGCACCGAAGGCGTCGTCTGGACTATAGTGAAGAAGGTTCTCTACTTTCACACCATCCTTTAAACTACGAATGGCTTCAATTTTTAACTTTTTAATCGCAATCTCTTCTGCTGTATTTATACGTTGTGTTCGTCTATCACAGGTGAGGACAGTCTCTAGGGAGCAGGTGAAAGCATTGAGGGACGCTGTTAATGATGTAAGTAAATCAAGCTTGTCTCTGTTTTCTTATTATTGTTAAGACTCCACTCTATCAAATTTGAAGATTAATTATTGATTTATCTGCGGAATTACTTAAAATCAAATGCTACTTAACATTCTTAAATCTTCCCTGAGCAGCTTTCTGATTTTTGTGATTTATAATTTTAGGGATTCGAGGAAAATTCAAGGCCTACGCAGGAACTTGACGGAAGACCACTTTGGTTATATACTAAGGGACCATAAAAATATGTAAGGTAGGGAGGGAAGTGAAAACCTTGTATGGCCGTTGACGTTGTCGGATGGACAACAAATAAACCATTTTGGTATGATTTACAGCTTCCATCATTTTCAAGTTATCGTTCACTTGAATCAGAGATACAGTCGCAATTTTGGCCAGATTAAACGTACTGGAATAATAATTTTAAAATTCTTTGAATTCGGGGAAAAATTGGCATCACAGGGTTGATTTATTTAGATTGAACTGGTAACTGGTAATGATGCCAGACGATAGAGAAGGCAATTTTTACAAAACAAAGCAGTGCTAAGATCACATCACTATCTCAGAACCTGTTTACTTACAACATTTAAACAAAAGAAGTAGTGTTAAGATCATAGAACTTTCTTACTTACAACATTTGAACACAAAGGAAAGGAGGTACATGCAGTTTAAAAACCCAGGAACTAGCAATCGCAAAGGCAAGCCAATACTTTCTAAGCGATGAGGAATGGCAGAACAGTCAGCATAAACGACTCATACGTGAATGTTGCAGAACCAGAGTAATTGGTATCCTTCTCCTTGAATTTTTCGGTTAGTCCCTGCAAGTCACATGATTCAAAGTCAGACCCTTTTAACTTTCCAGAAACTAACAACCATTAATTGGCAGATTGTGCAGTCATTCCTTGGTTAAATGAGAGGAGTGTGATTGTTAAACATCCTGTTGTTGGAAGTTCAATTTGGTTTTAATCATTTTGGCCAAAGAAAATTTTGGTTTTAATCATGGAATTGGGTGCCATTCAATATAGAAACAAACTTCTGCATAAAACATCAAACATCATATTATTAATTGACCATTCAAGATGAATATGACCGTGTTAAAATTGAGCGTGACTTCGGAACTCACCTTAACAGTAAGACAGCACCTGCATCGGCAGACAAGGGAAACGGGGAAAAATCAGTCCAAAAGGGTGCCGTATATACAAAATTTTAAAAGGATGATAAGTTAATATCCAACAAAAAAGGATAAGTAGAAAAATCATACTCAATGAAATTGTCATATTCAATAGCCTTGCTTTTTCCACCAGTTTTGTCGAACTTGGAGACAAGCAAATCCAGTACCGTAGGTGAAACAGCAAACCCCATGCTCAGTAGTGCATCCCTCAACTCGGATGAATCGATTTTGCCACTCCTGTCCTTATCAAATCTCTCAAAAATGGACTGAAATGACCAGAATTCACAATTCAGAATGTGACGAAAAGGAACACAGAAAATTTCAAATTGAGATTGACAGAGACGAAATTAGTAAATTACCCTCCAGTTCTGAAGATTGTAATATAAAGAAGTGAATTCTTTTGGTCCTGCATTAAAATGACAAGAACAGAAAGAAAATGTAAATAAATTCCAAATATCATATAAATAATATAAGGACACGTTCCAGTCAGCTCACTCCATTTTCCGGGTCGAGTTATAGCTAAGTTAGTTTCAGTTAAGGCACAAATTCCAGTACATTTTGATATCCTCATAAATAATTATCAAGTGTGAGTATTTAAGAGCTGCTCTTTTATCAACTCTCAAGTTTTAAACGTAACAAACAGCGTAGAGCAACGCGTGTACTATTCCGCTCATAATAAATGGGGGCCCGCATAAACCACTCCCATTAAAGTCAATACCAAAAGGTGGATATATCCATTCATCCGTACCTATATAATATGTTGGCAACATTTTTTATAAACATAGGTATTTGGAGTCAGACACAATACAACAGATTATAATATAAAAGGTGGGGTTAATACAAATTTTGGTCTTTTAAGTTTATCTTAATTTTGATTTTAGTCCCCCAAATTTCAAACTATAAGTTTTGATTCCTCGAGTTTCTTTTTATTTAAAATATTAGTTCCTATAATCTAATAAAAACTTAGACCATTTTATTTTTTGAGGGACCAAAACCTATAATTTGAAATTTATGGGACTAAAATCAAAATAAAAGCAAATTTGACTACCAAAGATTATGTTAAGTTTGATGATAAAAACAAGATATCTGGCGGGATAAAAAAAGGATAACAAAAACAATATAAAGGGGAGGCGCGTTTAGTTGACCAAACCAGATCCGCGTAATTCATGCAAGGTGGCCCAATATAAACGCTAGGACCTTTTGGCCCATATATTCACAGAGGTGAAAAACAGATGACGAGCTGAGCATGACCCAAAGGCAAACAATTTAAAAATAAAAAAAATTAATCTCTTAAATTTATCTTTATTTTGATTTTAATCTTTTAAATTTCAAATCATAAATTTTGATTTCAAAACAAAATAGCCTAAGTTTATATTAGATAATAGGGACTAATATTTAATAAAAAAATTTAAGAAATTAAAGGTTATGATTTGAAATTTAAAAAGCTAAAAAAATAGCAAGGGCATGTTTTACATTTTACATGCAGTTGCATGCTGACCAAAGTACCCACCGCCACGTGTCCAGGCGGTGACCCGACGCATCCACCGGGGATCTTTTAGGTTGATTGCTGCCGAATGAAGATGACAATGCCCCGGGTCGGCGAGGCCGTGAAATTTAGCACCACATGCCGGAGAGAATTCTCTTCCGGCTTAATTTATCGGGAAATTTAATATCCCCTATCCGAATTTCACAATTCCATAATCAATTGAAAAAAATAAAATAACAGATAAAATGTCACAGAGAGTACCAATTTTCCTGATGTTGGTGTTGGTAAAGTGATACATGAGAAGACGAACAGTCCTCAAACTGAAGCTCTGATTGTAGGAGGAAAGCGCCATCTGCAATTCCTTGTCGTCGATCAATCCACTGCCGTCTTGATCTGCAATTTGGAAGCAGGCAATCACACTGGGATCGGCGCCAGGAGGGAACGCTGACGGCACCAGCGTCGCGAAAGGGCTTGGGTACGAAGGCGCCGACGCCGGCGGGTAGCCTCCGCTGCTGCCGCCGTGGGTTTGGAAGTTATCTTTGTGGGGTTTCTGACCAGGCGGTGCGTAGGGTGCAGCGTAAGGAGCAGCAGCCGGAGCATAAGGGTTACCTTGGCCATGCGGCGGGGGGGCAGCGCCATAGGGGTTGGCGGAATAGGGCGGCGACGAGCCATATGGTTGGCCGGATGGCGGCGCACCGTAACCGTAACCGTATCCGTGACCGGGGGGCTTGTTTGGATATTCAGACATGATGAGACGGTGATGAAATGAAAGAGCGAGGGAGACTTTGCTTATAGAGGCGGTCGACTCAGAAGCTAGAGATCCTCTAGCTTGGCATTGTGGCCGTCGGATTGATGTTTATACTTTGTACCGTCAAAGAAAAGGGACAGTTGTTTTGTTTGAATGGTTAGCAACACTTATTTTATTTGTGGATTTATTAAGACCAAACCAGCGAAACTTGTGATGTTTTTTAAACAATGTAACTTGTTCCGTAATTTACCTCGCTCTAGTCCATGATATACAACATTTTATAGTTTTAAGATGTACTACTGCGCTTTTACTTTTTTTTTTTTGGTGTACTGCTATGTTTTTACTTTATCCTAATGTTAATTAATACTCATCCGATCCTTAATATAGGACCTAATTCTTGAGTTGGTTTTGGTCTTAAATATAAGACCCATTTCTCATATTTATTAGTTTTCTCTAAATTACCCCTATGAATACTCCTTCAACTATAACCAAGTAGAAGAGGGAGAGGGGATATTAAGAAAGATGATTATAGTGTTTTAGGAAAAATGTGTCACTTTTCTTATAATTAACTAACTTACCTAACTTCCTTAATCTAATCAAATTAATTAAATGGGTATTATGTTAAGGACCAGAGGAGTACTACCTCTTGTCTTTAATATAAATATTTATTTGATTTTTATTTTGGATTCTAGTCCTTTTTTATATTTATTTTTTAATATAATTCTTGCAATGATAATAGTTTTAACAAGACATTTGATTAGTAAGAATATTTTAGGAAATACAATATTTATTTAGTACAAATAACTAATTTAACTAGTTTTTTTAATCTACTCAAATTAGTTAACTAACTATTATGTTAAATAATACTACCTCTGGTCCTTAATATAAGATCTCGTTTAATTTTTATTTTCGTCTTAAATATAAGACCCCAATCTACTTTATCTCTCATATTTATGTATTTTTTTCAAAATAGTCATTCTAATAACAGTAGTTCTAATCAATATATTTGATTAGTAAATATATTTTAGAAAATATAATATTTATTTATTATAAATAACTAATTTAGTTTATTTTCTTAATTTTTTAAATTAGTGAAGTAGTTTTTATAAGGGATAATTAATATATAAGTCCTTATAGTTTCAACTAGTTTTAATCAGGTCCTTATAATTTTTTTTCTTTTTATCAAATCCTTATACTTTCATATATTTTTAATCAAGTCGTTATATTTTTTTTTTTTTATCAGGTCTTTATTGTTTTACTTTGTTTTTAATTAGGTCCTTCTAGTTTTTATTCTTTATTTTACAAATAATAACATTTTAAAAACAATAAATTATTGTAACAATCTTATGTTAATATTCTTTTAAATTTTTAGTTAAACAAATATATTATTTATTTTCAATTCAAATTTTTATAATTATAAAATTCAAATTATAATAATAAATTTATCTAAAATTAAAATATGATTATAAATAATTTATATTTAAGTATAATTATTATTCTGATTATTTATTAATTACTAAATGATTGTATTAATTATTTTGTCCAATTATATAATTATTAATTTAAAAATGAAATTAATTTTAAAGAATAAAGTTAATAAATAATTTTTCAAAAACTACAAAGCACCTAATTAAAAAATAAGTAAAACTATAAGAACCTGATAAAAAGAAAAAAAATAAAAGGACCTAATTAAAAACACACGAAAGTAAAAGGATTTAATAAAAAGAAAAATTTTTATAAGGACCTAATTAAAAATCAGATGAAACTATAAGGATCTGGAGATTAATTATCCTTTTTTATAATTAGGAGGAGGCAATACGCCACTTCAAGTAATTACACGTATGAAGTGGTGGGTGTTTGTTGTGGGTGAGACTGTAACTCCAATAAGTGTCGTATTATGGGTCGGGATGAAGTAGTACCATGG